AGCATTTTAGATTCCTGTGAGCAGTCTCAAGTAATTCAAACTTTCTAAAGTATGTTACACCTAGCTACTGGTTAAGAAAAACCAGTGGCTACTAGGAGCTTATTGGTTCTCAGAGGTAACAAGATAATAACATGATTTAAACAACAAAAGAAGAGTATCTAAGAACAAGAGTGCTTTGGTCATCAGTTATACCTATGTTAGCAAGTGATATGACAAAGCAGATAATCAGCTGAGGTTGTCACTGCTGACATACCTTATATGCAGTTCACAGGTTTTATTTCAGACTTGAACTGACCTCATGAAACAAATGACTCTTCCATATAAATTGTTCAACACTACCAAAAGAACTGTTCCCCAGCTTGATTCCACTTGGGGTTGTGCTGCATCTGATATACATTTGGAGCAAATCTTTCATTTTATCTTCTTGATAACACAAAAATAAAAAGATAGCAGAAAGCCAAACGAGGATAAGCCTTTCCTTCTTCAGGTGAAAACAACATGAAAATAGAAACTTCCTCATTGCTTTCTAGGTTTTAGGCATTTTGACACTACCAGCAGCTTGGTGTTCAATAGAATAAAATGACAGTGAAAAAGACAATGTTACACCACCAGGAGTGGTAACACCTTCTGTGCCTGAAGATTTGGAGTAAAGGATGAAAATGTTGTAACAAAGCAAGAATTTCTACTTAGAAATAACTTACAACAAGGATGCCAAAGAACCTTTAATGACTAGATTTCAAAAGATAGCTTTACCAAGGCTGCCACTGAATTCCCTAGAAGAGGTCCCGGTGCTTCCAGCAAGATGAAGAAACTACAGCTATCACTAGGAAACCAGTAGTTATCCCTCTCTATGATACAAAAAAAATGGTTTATTCTTAAAAACACATTGGGTTATTTTTTTCCTGAGATAAATTATTTCAGGTATGAGAAGAAAAGAAATCCTACAAGCTTGAGAAGTGGGTCCATGTGAACCTCATGAGATTCGACAAGGTCAGGTTCAAGGTCCTGGGTGGGGGCAACCCATGCTATCAATACAGGTTGGGGGACAGACAGATCAAGAGTAGTCCTACCAAGAAGGACTTGGGTGTGCTGGGGGGATGAAAGGCTGGATATGAGCCAGCAATGTGTGCTTGTAGCCCAGCAAGCCAAGCATTTTCTGGGCTGCATCAAAAGCAGTGTGGCCAGCAGGCCGAGTGTGGTGATTTTCCCCCTCTACTCTGCTCTGGTGAGACCCAGCCTGGAGTACTGCATCCAGCCCTGGGATGCTCAGCTTAGGAAAAACAGGGATCTGTTGGAGAGAGTCCAGAGAAGGTCACGAAGATGATTAGTGTGATGGAGCTTCTCTCCTATGAGGAAAGGCTGAGAGAATTGGAGTTGTTCAGCCTGGAGAAGAGAAAGCTCCATGGAGACCTTACTGTGGCCTTTCAATGCTTACAAGAAAGATGGGGACAAACTTTTTGGCAGGGGTTGTTGCAACGCCCTTGTTGGACAAGAGGTAATGGTTTTAAACTAAAAGAGGATAGATTTAGACTAGATATAAGGAAGAAATTCCTTATGGTGAGGATGGTGAAACACTGAAACAGGTTGCCAGAGAGGTGGGGGATGCCAAATTCCTGGGAATATTTAAGGCAAGCTTGGATGGGCCTCTGAGCAACCTGATCCTGTTTAAGATGTCCCTCCTCATTGCAAGGGGGTTGGGCTAGATGACCTTTAAATATCCCCTTCAACCCAAATAATTCTATGACTTCAGCACTATGAGAAGAAGGAAACCTCAGCATCTGAAAGTCGCACTGGTTGGTAGTGCTCCCATGGAATAAGAGAATACAGTCAAGGAGATTTAAAATAATGACATCATCTCTATGCACACATTAATCTTATTTACAGCAGAAATTAAACTATTAGACCTTGCATCTCAAATCTCTAGCTCATTAACATTTGTGTTTGGTACTTGATCTCTAGCTGTCCAAGAACACTGAGCCAGCAGTCAAGAATGGAATTTAAAATTGTGCCAGACAAAGAAAACTTATCCATAACTCAAAGTCCACAGACAAAGCATTTTTGACTCATACTGAAATTCAGTCCCAGCAACCAACAAATGTAAACACACTCTTTCAACAGCCATGTGATGGGCTCAGAGTACAGTAAGTTGCAAAGTGAGGACATACAGTAAAGTATGTGAAAACTAAGCCTCCCACTACAGATTACACGTCCACAGAACTAACCAAGAAAGGACTATGCATCAGCTAAAAGAATCTGAGGATCAGAAAACAAAGGACTTAAAACTATCCCATCATTACCCTCCAGAGCACATTTCATCAAAAAGAATTGGCCTTTTGTCAGTGGAGAAACAAATAAACTTCGAAGTCATAAAAAATATGAGAATATTTCTACAATCGAATATCTGCTTTATAAATGAGATGGCTATTTTCAACTTCATCTTTCCTCATTTGAAAAGAACAAAAGTTGACCCCAGCAAAGCAAACAAAGGAACACATACATAACATCCTTTAAAAAAACAAATAACCCTACTGGGGAAGATATTGGTCTACTCACAGACTTTAAATGATGCACAAAGTAAGGCATTTAACCAAGGTCTCAGTTTGTTGAACCAGACTTTCCAATTGGCAGCAAATGAGCCTGGAGTTAAAACAAGAGGTTTCTATTATCTGTATCATTAAATGTCAGGTGATACTTGTATATTAAGTACAAAAAATCTGCATTTCATAACCCCAGCAGCAAAAGTCAGTGCTTTAAAAAATTAAAATCAGTCTTTTTCTTTTCTCATTTATACCTATACAAGAAATTGAAGAATTTTCATTGTCACTTGACCTGCAATCATTAGTATCAGCCTAGAAGAATTTTTATTACAAGCACATAATTTAGCAATGAACTTCAATGTAAACAAAAGTAGTGAAACCCAAGCTTCAAGATGTAAGATGTTCTGCAACACTCTTCTAACATTTTGTACTTTCATAGGCTCTGTAAGTGTCTTAAATTTTCCAAATGTTAATTTAAAGAGGTAAAAAGAAACTTTAGGCCTGAGCAGAGTGTTCATTCTCTCCCCCTCTAGTGATGTGAATTTTTGACTATTTTTAGCACACACACAGAATCACAAAATCTAAGAATGGGTCAGGTTGCAAGGGACCACAGTGGGCCATCTGATCCAACTTCTCTGCTCAATCAGGGTCATCCTAGAGCTTTCACAGGATTATGTCCAGATGGTTCTTGAATATCTCCAGTGAGGGAGACTCCACAACCTCTCTGGGCTGTTTCAGTGCTTGCACAGTAACTTACACTGTAAAGAAGTTCTTCCCCATATTCAAGTGTAACTTTCTGTGCATAAGTTTCTGTCCACTGCCCCTTGTACTATTGCTTGGTACCACTAAGAAGAGCCTGGGTGTATCTTCTCAATACCCTCTCTTCAAATACTTACAGGCATTGATGAGGTTCCCTCTCAGTCATCTCTTCTCAGTGCTGAACAGGCTCAACTCTCTCAGACTGTCTTTGTGAGGGGTGCTCCAGTCCATTCATCATCTCTGCAGCCCTCTGCTGGACCCGCTCCAAGAGCTCCATTTCTCTCTTGTACTGAGGAGCCCAGAACTGGACACAGCACTTCAGATGAGGCCTCACCAGGGCTGAGTGGAGTGGCAGGATCACCTCCTTCAACCTACTGGAAATGCTTTTCTTAATGTGCTCCAGGACACCATTGTCCTTGACCACAAGGAGTCCTTGACCACTGCTGGCCATTAACAGCTTGTTGTCCATCAGGACCCTCCATGTCTTTCTCCACAGAGCTCCCAGTAGGTCAACACCCAGCCTGTACTGGTGTCTGGGGCTATTCTTCCCCAAATGCAAGATCCTGCATTAGCCTTTGTTGAATTTCAGACAGTTCTTCTCTGCCCATCACCCTAACTGAAGTCTTCCTAATTTACATATCCAGTGAAAGACTTGTCCTTGAGGGTTTTCAATAGACAGGATTGTCAGTGATAACAGCAGGAGCTCTTCATGTGACACTCCAATGTATTCACATCTCTAACCCTACCAAGAATTCTTGAAGAGATAGAAAAAATTAGACCACTCTACAATGCTGGTATTCCATAAGTGACTGGATCAAACCTAACAATGTTTTCAAAGCTAGGTATTTGTTGATTTACTGTTGCTGAAGGAATGCCAGCAACAATGAAAAGTATTCTCAATGCCCAGTGGGATTCCTAATGTAGAATAATACACGTGTTTATTTACTGAGATCTCAAAGTTGCTACTATTAACAGATACAGATATCACATAATCACTGAAACTCTTTTTTTAGTTTTGGCAATAAGGCTACTGAAGTATTCATATCAATAATGAAAGCCTTCAGCAATGTACCCACCCCTCAGTGATAAACAGATCAGTGGGGTCTGATGGAATGTGACAGGAAACAGATACTTTCTCCACACATGTGAAAGCCACAGATCTCACCTTTGTTAAAACCTTTGTCAGTCTCTCCCTAAACTGTTGTAGTGCACTAGGAAATACAGCCTAGATGAAATTAGTCTGAGATGAGTGCACAGTTGGCTGAAAGTTGTTTTTAAAATGTTGGTATCAGCATTCAGGAGCCCCTGGTGGTCTAGTGGTAAAGGCGCCGCGCTATCACTGCCGAGACCCGGGTTCGATTCTCAGTCAGGGCCACTCCCGGGCAGGTGGGGCTCGTTAGCCCTTAAAGGCAACCCACCTACGTCCTGAGGACCTCGCTGCCACCGTCCAAGCTCGCTTGGCCCCGGCAGATGAACCTTAGGATTAAAGGGTGGGCTCAGTTCCGTGCACACTGTGTCTCACCTAAAAAATCCAATGCGCAGGCTGGAAGGTGGAAAGACCTTCCCCGGATCTTCACTCGTGAAGACTGGCCATTATCAGCATTCACAGTCAAACAGGACATATTTATTTAACATGACCTCCTGAAGTTCATGGTATTTTACAGCTTCATTAACAAATAAAGAAAAACTTTGTGACCTTTGAAAACAGCATCAAACAGGGCAGATAACAAACACTTAGGAGAATAAGACCAGAATGGAAAAGACCTTTGCCTACTGGAGCAATACTCTGAAATACAGCTGAGGTCAGAAAGGAGTAATGCAGACTCCTGCACTTAAATCTGAATTAATAACTCTATAAATATAGTAGGGGAAAAATCCAGCTTGTTAGAAGCTTTGTAGAAAAGGATCTGGGGTATTCCAAACTGCATATGAGTCAGCTAAGTCAGGTTGTTTTAAAAATATACCATACACTAATTAAATATGTAAAAAATAGGAGATGTATCAGAAAGACAAACTTTCTTGTAAGGAATCCTCTCACTTCCCCTTTTCCTGGGCATTGGGCCAGTTGCAGGAGAACTCTTCTAGGAGCACAGGAGCCCCTGGGTGTCCACAGGAAAACAAAATGCACTGTAAAGAAAGAATGGGATTCTTTAGTCTAGAGAGGAGGGCCTTATGAAGAACATGATTGTCTTAAAGTATGGTAAAGACTTCCACAGAAGAACCAGATGTCCTTTTTATCCGCCACGGCTAGGACAAAAATAATAGATTTAAACTCCAGTTGTCAAGATGTAGAACAAACATTAGGAAAATGTTTCTAATAACAGGATGTTAAAAATAAAATTAAAAAAAATTTATATATAAGGGTGAGAACAATTTAAGATTCTTAGAATTTGGGATAAAAAAGATCTTATGGTCTCCCTCTGCTGCTGTGTCTCTGAGTCTACAAGAACAGAGTTCTCTTCTTCATCTTTTTTCAGCAGAACTGTAGAAGAGCTCCTCTGCCAATCTTAGAAAAAGCGAAGATAAAAACTGGCATACAGGCAGTTTCTCTGAGTCTTTGACTGTGTGTATGTGTGCATTCACATAATGTTCTGTATGAACATGTACATACCTTTCTATCTGTGTTTGCATGTATATGTACAAGCCTGTATTCATACGCATTCTTGTGTGAATGTGATGTCCTTAACAACTGAAATTTAGTTTTAAAAACATTTAACAAACATTTCCCTCCGTTGAGACTCAATAGTATAAAGGGTTGGAGTGTGTAGGGTGGCTACTATTCAGGGATGCTTTAATGCAGTTATTCTTGCCCACCTTTTTCTCCCAAAGTAGAGCAGGTTTGGAGACGTGAAAATGTGAAGAGAGCTTTTATTTGAAAGGGCAGTTGGCATAGTTCTTGTCTCATTTACATCCATATGTAGCACTGAATGCAGCAAAAGGACAGCAGTATAAAAGTGAGTTGAAGAGAGAAACAGATCTTCATATGATTATAGTAATATATAAAGAGCTATTGATCTGAAGATTTGTTCCACAAGGGTAAGACTATTCAACCAGCATGTTCGATGCGAGTTGCACATAATAGCCTAATGATGGAACCCGAACATGATACAAAATAAACATCCAAGTAATGCAGACGATATCTAAACCTGGTAAATGAAAGAGACAATAATCCCCAGTATCCAGACCAAATGGTTTTAATTTACACTTGGCAGCTCCTTTTCTCCATCTTGGAATTTCTGGACAAAGTTTTCCTCAGTATTGGATTCCCATTCTACAATTTCAGTGTTCTAGTTGGCTGGCCAATGAAAAGCTAATCAACTATGTACATTTCATTTAGTCATACCAATATATCACCTCTACTCGTGACCACACAGCTCAAGAGTAGCAGCACACAAGAAACCCGAGAGCACGCTGAAGTTAGATGTGAAGACATGAAGGAAGTTAGGTAATTTTATTATGAGAACAAAGTTACTTAATTAAATCCCTTAAAAAGTTTATGAGATGGTCGACAAGACCAGGAAAGAAAATTTTCCCCAAATGGAATGCAGCAAATACTAAGTTGCATTACTTACAGGAAGGAGGGAATGAGAATTTACCCTAAAAATATTTAGCTGCTTCCAGCAATGAAGAAAATTATTTGTAATATTAAAAACCCTGGGGATAAGTTTGGCTGGGTGTTTTGGGGGTTTTTTGTGTGGTGTTTTTTTTGGGGTTTTTTGTTGTTTTTTTTTCAAGGTCCACACTTACTTTTGTTGCTTCAACAAAGATACAGGTCTGTAGAGGGAGGAAGAAAAAAACCTGAAGTTTACACAGGGTTATTAAAAAATTTAGACTCTCTCAGCTAAAAGTCTCTGAATATCTCCTCTGCAATAAATGTGCTTGAGGCTCTCATCATTCCCATTAGCAACCACTTCTTAGACTGCACATGTAGCTCCCCCCGAGGATGAGTGAGTATATTCCATTCCCTCAGAGCTCCCCAGGCTCACCGAGCTGCACATGTGCAACAATACACTCCAGCTGAAGGCTGCTGTGGCTGGCAGAGCCAGAATTTTGCTGTAATGGCTGAAACTGTGACCAAGAACCTGTCTCTCCACCCTTTCCACTAATCCCCCTGCTAGCAGTATATGGCAGGAAACCACCTCATTTTAATGCACGAAGGAGAAGAGCTAAAACTGAATAGCAAAACCAGGGGAGTGGGGCACAAGAAAAACAGGCATAAAGATATGTCTAGGCAAATATATTACAAAGTAGGAGAATATGGGGAAGGAAAAGATGGAGAAAATTACTCTGAGCTAATAGAGCTGAAGATTGGAGAGGATGCCTGGCAAGGAAATGGACACATGACAGAAGCAGTTTAGAGAAAGAGAAAAAGACATCAAGCTGGAAAGGGAGCGAGTAGAAAGGTTGGTGCCCAGTAGAAAATGTGCATATGCAGAGCCTGAAGTAAGGCACAGCACCCTATTTTGTCTAAGCATTACAAATGATATTATCAGAATACCTTATGATTAACTTGTGATGATCATTCACACAGGACAACAAATTACAGTCAATTATTCTGTAACTCAAGCAGCAGAAATCTGAGCAGTTTGCCTAAACCACTACGATTAACCGCTCTAGAAGACAACTGGTCCCATTATCAAAAATAGAGACGTTATACTTGTACAGGACAAAACACTCTTTTGCTAAATTTGCAAAGTCAAACACCTTGGAAAAAGGATGTATTTGTCTTGTATAAGCCTATCATGCAGATGCATTATGACATAAATATATAAAGTTTGCAGATGATCTTTGCCTTAATCAAAAACCAGTATACATTAGTTCTAATCTAACACACTACTTTTTAATATTCTGGGTTTTTTTTCATGGATTTCCACCTGTGTCTGAACTACTGAAGAAAATAAGACAGGCAGTGTTCTTTGGCTGACAGCAAGTGACAGTCAAGTCCAGATCTACATGGACAAACTCTGCTTCTTTCCCCCAAAACGGACTGGCTGCATCTAAACTATCTATTAGGAAATGACCTGGGTCCCCAGCTTGTGTTCATGCATTGACTGCACAGATGTTCTTTGTCCTGAGTAAAAAACATACCAAGGAGGTCATGCTAAAAATGACACAGTATGGAGAACTGTAATCACATCCTTAAGCACATATGTTTTCTCTGTTTTAATTAGTAGAAGAAGTGTAGCCAGTAAGACTAGAATTCTATGGAAGAAGTTTGTGTTATGTAAATAAAGACCATCATCACGTACATGGGGCAGCATCTTCAGATCTGGTGTTTCAAAATAAATGGACTTGTCTTTAAAACTTCAATAACGTGCTTTTAATGTCATTTGTCTGTGTATTGTGTAATTCAGATAGGGACACCTTGCCCTGCATAATAAACTGGTTGGCAAATCCAGAAAGACACAAACAAAAAAAAATCTAAAAAAACAAAATAAAAGAGAAAAACTATAGGACTGGAAATCTAAGATGTCTTATTAGGTAGCATTCAGGTTCTGTGCCTTAACATTGAAAAAAATTCATACATTATGCACATGTATCACTAATTCCTGAAATAGTATGTGCACCATTGCATATCATTCTGTAGACAAGCAGTTGGCAGGTGTTTTTTACAATAGTAAGATGAATTCACAGTATGGGATATGTTGATTGCTCATGTCAGTCCCTTTGAAATTTTAAAGTGAGAGTAATCAGCACTATAAATCTCTCCTAAGTATAATTAGATTACTATTTATACCTAGTGTTGTTAAAACCAGCCTAAGAAATTACTTTTAAGGCATCATTACTGAAGAAATAATCTCTTTAAAACAATAATCACTCAGTTAAATACAATTCATATACCTACTTTCTATAATGAGAACACATAATTCAAGTATTTAAGAATACTGAATGTCTTTTCCTATTTAAAAGTTTGATAATAGCATTTTCAGACTTCAAGTCTGAAACTTCAAGTTTTTCACATTATCCTGCTCGTCTGGGAGCATCCCTCAATACTATAATGCACTGAGATGAAGGATTAGATACAGTGGCACTTCTGCACAGAAGGGATCCTTTGAAGGATGCAAGTTTTGTGTTACAGAAAGTGAAGGTTAAGGCTACTGTAGGGAGTATTATGATAACGAGGCAATTATGATCAACTGACTAGAACTAGAGTTATCTCCATAGACTTTTTATCTTTTAGGAACATATTAGGAATTCCAAAAGATGGTAAATGTATATAATCTGGTCCAGTGGCTCACTCTTGTTAATTTATATTTTATTTCCCATGGAAACTACCTTGAGTTTTTATCTCTTCTACAGTAGACTCATGGCATAGCAGCATGCAATCAGTAAAACCTGAGTGTCTAGTACCATCTTTTGATTACGCAGATCTCAGTAAAGATATTTACATGACTCTAAAATAAAAAGAGAGATCTTTAATCCCTATGTAGAAGCATGGCATTCCAGATGAATGGACTATCTTTAATTTATCAGAATGTTCCAAGATGAAAGTGTTCCTGGCCAGTCACCTCACCACAGAGCTGCAAGCTTTGGTCAAAGAATGCTTATACAGCTCAAAGCTTGCTGGCATTCTGCAGTACGTACCTTTGTTAAACACTAGCAATTGCATAGAGAACACCAACAACAGAAGCTACTTCCAAATCCATGGCTGGAATAAACCAGGCAGATAAAAGATCAAGAGGTTGCAGTAATAAGACAGATATTACATTAATATATATTGTTACAGGGTCCAGAAGTAAAAGTCTATGCCTCTCTTGCTATGTATAAACTTCAGCAGACTTTGTTCCTCATTTTTCTAGTGGAAATTCATGATCTTGTAGATTGTTTCATGCAAAACAGACTCCAGAACTCAGCAGCCCTTGGAAAGGCTTTGTCCATGACCTACCACTCATGTGAAGTCAAGGGCAAAACTGCCCCCAAGGTCTCACAGCATTTTAAAGTCAGTTCTCATATGGAACATCCTCCCTTTCCAAGGAATCACTTCATTGCCCCATTAATATTTTATTACACAAAACTTAGAAATGGAAAAAGCATATGTTTGGAATGATATGTGGCAATAAGAATAGGACCCCATTTTTATGTAGTTTTCCATTGCATGATCCAGCTCATGTATTTAACAGTTTTGG